AGATTATTAGTGTCCATCAGTGCAGCATATCAGCACAGCCCATCAGTGCCACCTCATCAGCGCACATCAGTGAAGAAGAAAAAAAATTACTTGCTGTGCTGAAAGCTAAACATTGGCCTGGTCAGGAAGGGGGTGAAAATGCCCAGTATTGAAGTGGTTAAAATGAAACCGGGACTTGCTGTGTTTAGCTGCTGCTGTTTAAAAAAACAAAAAAGAAAACAAGAAAATGAAACTGTAGCTGACTTTATCAACATTGTTCACATATAAAATAGAGAGAAACAAAATAATTTTGCTACTTTTGTATGTACTGTGTTTCATTTATCTGCAGATCAAACGGGTGATCTTCCATCTGCAGATGATGCCAATTAAAGCAACTAGTCAAAAAAAAAAGAAAAAAAAATTATAAAATTTTTTAAAACTGTTAATGTTTAAACTTTTTTTTTTTAATTTGTCTTGTTCAATACTTTTCTGTGTTAAATTAAAAAAAATAAAAATAAAATAAAAAAATAAATGGAAGGAAAAACAAAACAAAAAAAAACACAAACATCAATTCCATTCATAATCTTTCAGTTCTTTTGTACCAGAATTTCAGTGTCATGTCAAACAGAACAAATTACAAAAAAAAAAAAAAAGTTGACTTATCTCTCGTATCACTTTAAAAAAAAAAAAAAAAAAAACTGGTCAAAAAAGAAAAAAAAAAAAAGTGCATAGTTTTAGTTTTGCTACTTTGTTTAATCCAAGCACTGCATAAAAAAATACATTTTAGCAAAAACAATATCATGAAAAAAAGGCCTTGGTTGACCATAAAAAAAATATATATATGCGTTACTTTAATATTTCAAAATGACAAAGTTTTTTCTGAAAAAACAGGTCCATAGCAGAAGTGTAAAAATGGCTAAGATCTATAGGGGATGTACAGATTTGAGAGCTGAATTGGCTAAAGGAAGTTGAAAAACAGACTTAATTGCAATATTGACTGATGAAGGATCAAACGAGCTTAGAGTGATGCTAAAACACACAATGTATAATTAACAGTATCCCATCTCTTTCTGTACAAGTATGATGGCACAGTAAATATTTTAATTTAAAAAAAAAAAACAAAACTAAGGACCCTTTTCCAAATCAGTATACAGCTGTCACATGACCCAGCTTTTTCCCAGCCTGCATACAGGGAACAGTGGCAGGAGGAGCTTCCAGTTCTCTGCAGCTGGTCACATGTAAAAAAAAAAAAAAACCCCACCTTTGGGATACAGAGTAACAAAATAATATCAAGCAACGGTTTTAAATGGTCATAAAAATGTACAGTTTATTTGAAATAAATTATTTAATATTTTTTGTCAATGACATGGTGTGGGCGGAATTCTTCCAGTCACAGGCTGTGTTGCACTCCTCCAGCCTGTGTCGTAGAAAAACAGGGAGGTGAAGCCTCCATCAATCAAGATGCAACATCTCTCCCTCTACTGAGAGTAGCTGGTTAGTGGGCATGGAGGTGGAGGGAGTGGGGCATGGGAGGTGGTGGAGGCAGCATTATAGTTGTCCCACTTTTCAACATATCACAAACAGATGCTCTTTAAAGTCCAATTCCAGGAAATATAAAACAAGATCCATTGCAGTAGGACTGTGTCTGCATTGCAAGAGTTAACTGCTCATTTAGCGGGCTGTCATTTACCAGAGTGTATATGCCTACATGTGTGACTCTATAGTCACATGGGCTGCTCAGGTTTGAAAGGGAGAAAATACTCAGGGTAGAAAATACACTGAAAACTGAGCATGTGCACTAGCTGCCAACACTGCTTTGCAAAACTCCCAACTGCATTGGGGACATGGACAGAATGGGGAGACAGAACAGCAGCATTAAACAGTTTTTTTTTGCAAAATGCAGAAAACAAATGGATGCGTTTAATAACAGTTTAACCCCTTTATGTCAGCTAGTCCCCACAGTCTCTCCTCTCCTATGATCCATTAGTTGGATGCCCCTGACATCAAGACTTATGCAGGACCCAAAGTCCTGAGAAGGCACAAGGGACAGAACATTGACAGAGTGTAAAGAAGCAGAGGATTGGGTAAGTAAAACTGCTTTTCTGTCCCCTAGACCTAAATGAGCAGTTAACTCTTGCAATGCAGACAGTCCTACTGCAATGGATCTTGTTTTACATTTCCTGGAATTGGACTTTAAAGAGCATCTGTGGTGATATGTTGAAAAGTGGGACAACTACAATGCTAGAGTTTCAGACATAGCAAATGATTCTGCATGAAAAGCCCTACCTGTGGTAGGGAACAAAGCTTTGTAAGGAGGACATTGTAATGCTTGGGGATGCCTTTGGCAACAAAGCCAGTAAAAGGTGAACTAACCCTTTAAAATCAAATACTTTCTTGAGACACAAATAAAGCTGTTCCTAAGAACTTCAACACTAAGAATTAATAGACAGGCCGCTAGAAACCGAGGCAAACAAAAGCAATTCATGGACTTGGCATAAACCTAAGAATACAAACCCCACTAATGCAGCATTTCTCCTATGTAGAACCCCTGTATAGGAATTCCCAGCATGATCCGCACACAGCGAACAGCAAAGGACGACTTACAAACCAGTGCTGACATGGATGCTCGGATCTCAGTCACAGCCAACAATGATACTCTATTAGTTTTGGCAAGTTACCAGAAATGATGTACTGTTTACTTCTGTACGCTGTATAACATGAGCAGGAATCCAGCCTTGTCCTCGGTTTAACTTTGTCAGGGGTAACAGGCGCCAGCAGATGTTACAAAGAGAGATTTCTATAGAATGACCACAAGACCCCTATATAATGATCACAGGATCCCTCTATATTGATCAGTATGACTCCCATATAATGATCACAGGATCCCTATATTGATCAGCATGACTGGTCATAGGATTCCACCAAATTGATCAGTATGACTCCTATATAATAATCACAGGATTCCTTTATATCGATCAGTATGACACCTATATAATGATCATAGGAATCCTCTGTATTGGTCAGTAGGACTCCCACAGGATTCCCTCTGTACTGATCAGTAGGACTCCCACAGGATTCCCTCTGTACTGATCAGTAGGACTCCCACAGGATTCCCTCTGTACTGATCAGTAGGACTCCCACAGGATTCCCTCTGTATTGATCAGTAGGTCTCCCACAGGATTCCCTCTGTATTGATCAGTAGGTCTCCCACAGGATTCCCTCTGTATTGATCAGTAGGACTCCCACAGGATTCCCTCTGTATTTATCAGTATGTGACCCCCACAGGATTCCCTCTGTATTGATCAGTATGTGACCCCCACAGGATTCCCTCTGTATTGATCAGTATGTGACCCCCACAGGATTCCCTCTGTATTGATCAGTATGTGACCCCCACAGGATTCCCTCTGTATTGATCAGTATGTGACCCCCACAGGATTCCCTCTGTATTGATCAGTATGTGACCCCCACAGGATTCTCTCTGTATTGATCAGTATGTGACCCCCACAGGATTCTCTCTGTATTGATCAGTATGTGACCCCCAATGGATTCCCTCTGTATTGATCAGTATGACCCCCCTTGGATTCCTCTGTATTGATCAGTATTACTACCATATAATGATCATAGGATACCTCTGGATCTATCAGTATGACTGTTATAGAATGATCATGGGATTCCTCTGGATCGATCGACACTTAAATAATAAAATGGTTGATCCCCTCCAATAAGAAAAAAACAAACATATTGCAGAGTTGACAACCCATTCGATCAATATATAACACACAGAGAAGTGGATTGCAGTTGACAGTTACAATACACTAACAAATGACTGACCACATCTCTGTTTCCACTAAGTAATCCATTCCCAAATGTGACTGCAATCATGAGCAAAGTATCTCAATGCCGCGGATTGATCATTTTCCGCCTTGGCCCTTCCACTCAGTTTGATCAAATCCGATGAATTTCCAGTCTAATCGACTGGAAGGGAAGTTATGGCCATGGGATAGTTCGAGGATTCCATCAATATGAACACACATCGATCAGATCAAAAATATGAATAAAAAGCGTGTGGCCAGCCTTGAATCCGATCTTGTGGCTCCGGGAACAATGAGGAGCCGGGCCGGCACAGTCCCAGTGGTGGGATGTGATGGAAGGTGACGGTCGGGCATGCTATGAATGGTAAGAAGTCGCGGAGCTCCGTGGGAAGGGGGGTCTGGGAGAGCAGAGCTGGGGGGGGGGGGGGGGAGAGCTGGGGGGGGGGGGGGTGTCTGGGAGAGCAGAGCTCCGAGGGGGGGGGGGGTCTGGGACCCCCCACCTCCCGAACCCCCGGGTCTGGCGGAACGGAGCTGTAGGGGGTCTGGAAGAGCTGAGCTAGGGGGTGGAAAGGAGCTCGTGGGGAAGGAGGTGGGGGTCTGGTGTGAGAACGAAGCTGGGGGGTGGACGGGTCTGGCTGAACGGAGCTCCGGGAGGTGGGCTGGGAGAGCAGAGCTCCGGGGGCATGTGAGGCCACTGACTGATCCCAGATGAGGATCTGAGCCGTGTGTGTGCCAGCAATTCACATTTCATCGGGGAAATTATTCCTCCCACCCTCTTTATCGTACATGGAGGAAATCAGGTCACAAGTCAGCTTTGTGACGTCATGAACTGCTGATGACGTGTTCACCATATTCTTTAGACCGTATATAGCCGTCTTCAGAGAGGCGATGATCTCTCGGGAACACAATCAGATTATCACACCGATTGACTAATGATCGGATCGATCTGTCCTCCCAGGGTGGGGGAGGGGGGTCAGTGCTGGCATTCGGCCGCATTAACAATCCCCCGCCACCGCTACTATTAAGCACGGGGCTGAGGTGACAACGTCAGAAGAGGTGCAGAGCCGCCATGGCGATGGTGCAGGGGCCTGTCCGCTGACTGCGCACTTCGGAGCTAAACAAGGAGCCGGCTGGGGAAGATGGAGGACATGACGGTCACTATGCGCCAAGCCGGCTTCCGTGCTGGGCAGCGGCCCACTCAGCTCTCACCTTCCTTATGCGCCGTTTAATGATAGATTCGGCGGCGAAGACCCGCTCCCCGACTGCAGACAGCTCCATGTTCAGCGCGGCCCCGGCAAAGACTAGCAGACAGCTCCTCCCTCTCCGAGCTCCGCTGTCACCTCGCCTGGGGCCACGCCTCTCTTTCCGCTGTCAACTCGCTAACCCCTCCCCTGTCCTTGTCAGTGTCTTAGTGCACCTCCCACTCAAGCGCGTCTGGGCCCGTGCCCGCCAGACGGAGATGGCGCGTGCACGAGGCAGATGAGGTGTACGCGGAGTGTCCGTGCCCCTTGGCGGGAAGACTGTGTGTGTGAGCAGAGAATTCCCTGTCAGGAGTCCACACTGTCCTGTACACATCTCAGTGCAATGAGGAATAATGTATCCAATAAAGACTTTGGGGCCTAAGGCTAGGCTCACACTATCCTGCACACTGGAAGCCATGCAAGTCCCGCAGCGCAATTTGCAGCAATTTCTGCACCGCATCATAATCGCACCTCATTCACACGAACCACTGCAATTGTGTATTTTAAGTTAATGACACCCTGAAATCAGTTCACAAAATGCGGTGCGATGGGCAGAATCGGATCCCATGGGTGTGAATATCCATGCGATCTGATTCTGGTGCGAAATAAAAAGGGTCCTGCACTTTTTTGGTGCGGATGCGGTGCAATTTGAGGCCTACAGAAGGTATGGCACAAATTGCACCGCACAGAAATTGAATGTGATTTGCACAGGAATGTGGGCGGTTCCTGTGCGAATCACATGCGATGTGCCATATCAGTGTGAACACGGGCTGAGAGACGCCATTATGAATGGCAACCCCATGCATCTCCTACCGCAGCATGATCGCAGGTGCAGGAACCGCAGGATCATAAAGACCATGCGGTTTCCATGCGGATGCATTTTGTATTGAGGGCTCAAGGCAGCCTATGAGTTGGCATATAGCTACAGAATTAGTGCCTTGGATAACAGGAGGTTCTGCAGGGTATCAGCATCTGTGTATTTATCCTGCAATGTGTGCTCCTTAAGGGGTGTGAAACTGGTGGCCCTCCAGCTCTTGCAAAACTACAAGTCCCATCATGCCTCTGCCTTTGGGAGCCATGCTTGTAACTGTCAATCCTGCAACGCTTCATGGGACTTGTAGTTTGGCAACAGCTGGAGGGCCGCCAATTCGACACCCCATCCTTTAAAAGGGCCACTCTTGATCTTCTGCTCTTCCTGTTCTGCATATTAAACCCAGGACCCTGCATTCATTATATCTGGTCTCCCACACTTCACACAACATGGACATTAAATTATTTTAGTAAATATAAACTGTTAAATACCTTTTTCCATCAGCAGATAGAGCAGTCACATGACTTCTATCAGTGTCCAGCAGAGCACTGGTTACAGCTTGTAGGAGGAGTATTCATTCTACCCTGATTGTCCTATGAGGCTGCAGGACCCCTGACCCTCTCTCTGGCCAGCACTAATTGGCCCTGTGCTGATCACATGTACCCCCTCAAAGAAAGGAAAAAAACCTCTAGCAATACACACCAAACTGAGCATGTGCAGAGTACCTCCTAGAGCTCTGTTCTATCAGGAGATGGATTGGGGACAGTAGAAGAAGGGGATGATCAGAGAAGACAGGCTGAAACAGCTTTATTTTACGCATTGCAGAGGATTAAACCTTTAGGTTCTACAGTGAGTATAACAAGCATTCTTTAGGGCCAGTTCACACTACATGAGTTTCAGTTGCTTTTTTCTGCAACCAAAATGCACAGAAAGGGGGTTATATGGTTGTCAATGTCATAGTTCACATCAGTGCTTGCAGTTCCAGTGTGTTCCGGTTGCAGAAAAAAAGTAGAACAGGCTGCATTTTTTTTCTGCACGGAACTGTACTGGAACGCGGTAAAATGCATTAAAAACGCACCAGATTGCACTGTAATGCACCAAAAACGCACATGTCCTTATTTAAATTGAAAAAAAAGGAGGGGGAAAAATTAACTGGAATGCATAAAAAATGTGCATGCAAAACGCTTCTGGAACGCATCTGGACTGCGTTTCTATAGTGTGAACTGGCCCTTACTGCATATACAGACTGATTTTACTGTTGTGGGTTTAGTAACACTTTAAAGCATTTTTCCTATAAAAGGAACACTTTTACTGGGTTCACAGATAACCTCTTTCGGTCACAGTGATGGCCCGCTGATTCTCCCTTTTCCTTTCTCTTCTTTTCCACTCCCTATCACTTACCTTTCCTCTCTTTTGTCTGTTTATGGCCCGTTGGTAATCTTGAAGGGGAGGTTGGGACCATGAGTCGATAGACGGTTCCAATTCTTCTTCTTCTTCTTGCAGGTCACGGCTCATGCGCAGATTTTTTATTGGTAAAACGATCGGCCAATTTGCACATCATTGCCGGGAAAATCGTCTGATCGGCAAAATCGGCCAATTTTTTTCCAGTTTTCCAGTTTTACCGTTAAAAAAACGTGCCAAAACCCAGAAAAACTGCCAACCAATTAACCCACTAACGGTGCGAAAATCAGTTGAATTTTTTTCAGCCGAAAAATCAGCCGATTTTTGACCCATCTATGGCCTGCATTAGGCTATAAATTGGAATTTTGTATGACATTGGACACAGCTGATTATGTGATAAAAGGCCCCTGTGAATGGCCTTTTACCACATCACGTGATCAGCTGTGTCCATAGGACATAGTGATCATGGAGATGGCCGGTTGTGCGCCACTGGGGGCGTGCAGAAGGGTGCATTCTCGGATGACGTCATATGACGCCCTCCCAGAACTGGACAACCTTGCTATAGCGCGGTTGCCAAATGGTTAAACTAATCCCTGATCTAAACTGGGTCTGACAATTCACATACCTATCGCAAGCCTGGACCACTACTTAACCACTTGCCCTCCTGAGGATTTACCCCTCTTCCTGACCAGGCCTCTTTTTGCTACTCGGCGCCGCACTAATTCAACTGATAATTGCGCAGTCATGCAATGCTGCACCCAAACGAAATTTACGTCCTATTTTTCACACAAATAGAGCTTTCTTTCGGTGGTATTTTATCACCTGTGTGATTTTTATTTTTCACGTTATAAACAAAAAAAGACCAAAAATGTTGAAGAAAAACAATATTTTTTTCTTTCAGCTATAAAAAATATATAGTAAACTCAAAGTTAGTTATAAATTTAGGCCGAAATGTATTCTGCTACATGTTTTTGGTAAAAAAAATCTCAATAAGTGTATATTGATTGCTTTGTGTGAAAGTTATAGCGTCTACAAACTATTGTATAGATACTGCAATTTACTCCATTTGTTTGCTATAGAGCGCTGTGCTAGTTTAACGGATAATTGCGCGGGTCGTGCAATACGGTACATAAATGAAATTTATGTCCTTTTTTTCACACAAATAGAGCTTTCTTTTGGTGGTATTTGATCACTTGTGCACTTTTTATTTTTGGCACTATAACCAGAAAAGTTTTGAAGAAAAAAACATTTTTGAAAAAAACAATATTTTCTCATTTCGGTCCTAAAAAATATCCAAAAAAACTAAAATTTCGTCATAAATTTAGGCCAAAATGTATTCTGCTACATGTTTTTGGTGTATATTGATTGCTTTGTGTGAAAGTTATAGCGTCTACAAAATATGGTATAGATAATGGAATTTACACAGCTTTTACTTTCTGAATGCCCATCACATTTCTTGAGGTGCTAAAATACCAGGATAGTACAAACACCCTCAAATGATCCCTTTTTGGAAAGTAGACACCCTAAGCTATCTGCTGAGAGGCATATTGGAAGATTTATTCTTTTTTCCACAAGTTTCTGGAAGATGACAAAACATTTTTTTTTTCTTTTATACGAAGTTGTCATTTAAATGATTTATTTCTCGCACAAGTCATGGGTATATGTGGAATTACACCCCAAAATACATTCTGCTACTTCTACCGAGTATGGGGATACCACGTGTGTGAGACTTTTTGGGAGCCTAGCCACATACAGGAGCCTGAAATCCAATGACCACTTTGAAAGCCTGAAGGTGCGTAACTTCCTCATTACACTTCCTAACTACCTATCACAGTTTTGAAGGCCCTGACATGCCAGGATAGTACCAAACCCCCCCCCCCCCCCCAATTACCCCTTTCTAGAAAGAAAGGAATTTAAATAGAGGCATGTTGAGTATTTTGCAGATCTTATTTTTTTCTCACAAGGTTTTGAAATATAAAAAAAAAAATAGAAATTTTTTTTTTTTTTTTTTTTTTCTTCATTTTCCAAAAACTTGTGGCAACAAATGAGATCTGCAAAATACTTACCGTGCTTTTTATCAAATTCCTTGGGGTGTCTACTTTCCAAAAAGGGGTCATTTGGGGGGGTTACGTGCTATCCTGGCATTTCAGGGCCTCCGAAACGGTGATAGGTAGTCTGGAAGTGTAATGAGGAAATAAAGCCCTTTAAAAGCCTGAAGGGGGAGTATGTAGGGGGGCGCTCGTGAGCAGCAGCCAGGATGGCTGCTTTTTGAATTTCTCCCTGGGCCGCCGGACACAGCCGATTTCTGACCCTCAGGGGGGGTCCCCCTGCTTGCTCGCTGGCCCCTTGTCCTCCAGGTGCCCCAATGGGCAAAAAAACACCGGCCGCCCACGCCTCCAGCACCCGGCGGGCCGCGCCGGAATTTGCGGCTGAAGCCGCGGCCTCGATTTTGGGCCGGCCGCCGGAGGCTTCCAGGACCCCGGCCGTGAGTTCGCAGCTCCCGCCGGAGGCCGTGAATGAAGCCCCGGCCTCGATTTCGGGTCCCCCGCCACCACTACCCACGGATCCTAGCGGTATAGAAGACCTGCAGCAGAGACATCCCTGCAGTCTCCCATTCCATCCTAGCGGGATGCTGAGCTCCTGCGCCGCTTCAAATCCATGCTGCAGGTGGAACTGTCCTCTGCTACCTCCAAGCTGGCCAACCGTCTTGCGCGAGAAATTCGGGAGTTGGGCAACCGGACGAACGATCTCGAGGATAGAATGGACGCTGCGGCCACGTCATTGAAAATCACGAACAGGATTTGTGCGACCTCAAGAAAGAATTG